AGAAATGTCTTTTTAGGTTTTATCTTGAAATAAAAATGAGTGCATAAGACAATAGCCACAAATTTTGCACAGTGGGTGGACAGTATTTAAGCAGCTTGGTTAAGTCACAATATAAGGAGAGATAAGCTAAGTTTTTTTCTCAGGATTTATTATGCAGTAACTATTGCTAATTTGGCAGCTGAAGTCCAACTGTGGAAGTGTTATGTGTGGCATCTTTACAGTATGAGAGCACTGACATAGGTTGTGAACTTTGAGAAACAACACAGCATTTACCCTGCAGCAGATGATTGGAGGCACAGTGATCATTAGAGGAGATCTTGGTAACATTGGGAGGTTTTTATGCAGCACCTCCTCGAAGTGCCACATTTTGTACTTCCTCTGGGATGGTAACAATATATTGGCCTTGTTGCCCTCATATCTGGGATTCAGAGTCCTCTGAGTCACTGAAGACAACATTGTCCTCATCGATCTCACCCCACTCACAAACAACTCCCAAGGTTTGGAACAAATGAAATGTTCCCCTGGAAACCTGACAAATATATGCAATAGCGACACTTCTAATTACACAGAACAATTTCTTATTAAATGAGAAATACATATAAAAGCAGGGGTCGAAAGATGAATCTTTATTAAGTTCACTTATAGAATGCAGATTCCAGACAAGACTGTAATCCAGGGAGTGAAAAGGGATTTATCAAGTGTTAAATATCTTGCAGCTCCTCTATAAGGATCAGGGAGGATCCAGCTGATGCAAACAACATAGAAGAAAATAGGGTGCAGAGATGTGTCCATAAAGAAAAAAAACTTTAATGAAGCAATATACTACTTGCATGTAAATGAAGAGAAATCAGCATAGTGTGTCAGGTACCTGAGCTGGAAGTAAAACAAAACACAGTCCAGAGTTTGATATCCACCTGTAGTTAGTCAAAAAGCCACATTGGGATGACAGTAGGAATTCGTACAAAGCCTCACAGTGGGCATGCAGCAATAAGATACTTGGTTCACAAAGGAGAAATGGAAGTGGACTGGTTTAATGGCAAGTGATTTTTCTCTTTATCAAGCCTGTCAAGATGCCGATGAATGATTGCCTTAAATATTACAATGCAAGGGACTTCAAGGCTCAGCATAAATAGCAATAAAATGCAGAAATAAAATTAAAAACTAAAGGAGCACATTGAAGGGCAAAGCATGCCAAGCAACAAAGAAAAATTCCCAGCTAAACTTACCAGCCTGCCTGCAACCAACTAAATTATCCTGTCTAACAGTTCACATTACAAACAGGGGTTTAGTTTGCACCTATTTGCAAATACATGCACAACCTTCACAGCCTGTTTATGACACCCTGGTAAGTTGAGCTGGGAATTTTTTTTTTGTTGTTTTTTGACATGCGTCACACTTACATGTGCTCCTTACTGCGATGATCAGTTATAGATTGGGGTAGTTGACATTTTTTTGTACTGTTGATATACTGGTGAGGTGCGCACTGGACACCTTAGCTGCCATTGCGCTATATGCTGGGTGTCCAGTGTGCCCCAAGGCCTTTAAGGAGATGTGGGCTCCCTCCAGGCTCACCAGCCCTCTCCATTATTATGCATGTATTTCTACTATGAAGGCTCTCAAAATTGAGATAGGACTGCAGAAAATATTGGGGTTCCGTGAAGGGGCTCTGCAGCTTACGCTTGTATTTACAAATGTGTGCAGACTAAACCCTTGTTTTAACATGAACTGATAATTCAGTTGGTTGCAGGCTGGCTGGTAAGTTGAGCTGGGAATTTTTCTTTGTTGTTGTTTGACATACGTTGCCCCTCCATGTGCTCCTTACTGGCCAGTTATAGATTGGGGCAGTTATTGCCATTATTTTGTAAGGTATAAACTAATTTGTATAAGATACTACAAGGATACAAGGATACAAGGATCAGCATAGCTAAAAATGCAACACAATGTAAAGACTACAAGGCTCAATGTATAAATTCATGCAAAATTATGCTCCAATCAAAAATAATATTTTTATGTAGGTATATAAATATATGTTGTTTATACACATACAGTATATACCTGTATTTAACAAACAATAACATATTACATATTGGGAAAAAAATTTATGTAGATATACCGTATAGTAGAGTGTGTTAAAACATATAGTAATATATACAGTGGGGAAAATAATTAATTGATCCTCTGCAGATTTTGTAAATTTGCCCACTTACAAAGAAATGAAGGGTCAGGGAGTGGCCTAGCCAGTCTCCAGACCTTAATCCTATAGAACATTTATGGAGGGGGCTGAAACTTTAAGTTGCTAAGTGACAGCACATATGGAAGAAAAATATATTTTAAATATATTTTAAAAATATTCTTCCCAATTTGTAGCATTTCAAATATATGGCAATATATTTGGGAAGAATATTTAAAAAATATATTTCAAATATATTTTTCTTCCATGTGGGAGCCAAGAAACCTTGAGTTTATACCTTGTTCTTTCTGGCACAAGATGGCATGAAGAGCTGCCAGAACCTCTGCTCAATGTGTTTCCTGTTCCCCAGTCATATTAACTGCAAAACAACACAGCAGTGTTTTTCCTGCTACAATGCATATGGTGTGTGTGTGTGTGTGTGTGTGTGTGTGTGTGTGTGTGTGTGTGTGTGTGTGTGTGTGTGTGTGTGTGTGTGAAGAGCGGGGGGGGGGGGGGGGGGTTCTGAGGAGTTGGTGGATGGGCCACTGAGGAGGAGGGGTCACAGGAGAATGAACTGTCAACAAAATACAAGACACAGGGTGACACCACCAGCTCCAGTGGTGTGCTCTGTCCTGCATCCTTTCCACTACTAGAAATTTGATCCAGTGTGCTTTCAATTACTATATATCCGGTCCTGTTGTTCATTGTGGCCTCTGGGCATGGGGGTGATTTAAGTACCTTTCTGTTTCAGTAGGGCAGCTGGAAGAGACACCTGCTTGGTGGAGGATGCTGTTGTAAATGGTAGGGTCAATGTTGTGGACTTAGGACAAGGTTCAATATTTTGCTGGACCCTACTGAGCTTGGCCCCATGATTACCCTCTTACCCACTTAACCTGCCACATCCTAAGACTCTGAAACACCTTTCCTCTCCAGGTGCATCTTGGAGTGTGGGCATGAAAAGCGCCAAGGAACTAAGAGAAATGTGGACTTTTTGCTGCTGACTGGTGTCATTAGGATTTTTGCTCCCACTGAGCTTTTCGGTGTCTCCTCTTACATGTCACACCCAAATGGCTGGTTCTTTTACCACAGAGGCTGCAGGTCACGATAGTGCAGCATTTTACAATGCCCATGCCCACACTACAGAGCTCTGTGAACCAGGCCCTTGGGATAGCAGTATTTTTTACTTGTGGAGCAGTGCCACCAGATGGAATAGGATAGCTTCTACCTCCAGTCTTCTGCATGCTCCCTCTGTCTTTGGACAAAATCCTTCTTCACCTCTGTTCTATGTCTCTGTTACTTTCCTCCTCTCCAATTAGTGGCATCTCATCATTCACCCCTCCTCATCACTGAAGCCCCCTTGGCAGTAATCTCCTTTGGCAAGAACAACACCACCTCTTCCTACAGTACTTTAACAGAAGAGAAGAACAGAATAATACAAGCTATAGTCATCTGCTCATATTTCTGTCCTTAACCCCTTCACACCTAAGGGTAAAACAAATCTAAATGCCTAAGCACAATTTTACAACGTTGACATGTGTTAGTAAAGCCGTACATATCATCACAACTACTTTGTACATCCAGGTGAATTATACCTTGTTTTTTTTCAGGACAAATTGGGCTTTCATTTGATGGTAAATGGTAATGGGTATCTCCTGATTTTTTTTTATTATCAAAGGAAAACTGGCCTAAAATAATAAAAGAAAATTTTTTTTTTTATTTAGCTGTGTGTTTCTTGTTACAACCATAACCTACCACCAAAGAACAACTCAAAATAAATTCTACAGCTCTTGACAATCACAGCAATACCATATATGTGTATGTTATTTGTTGTTTGTACCCGTAGTACAGCCCAGAAACAATAGTGCACATTTTGTTTTTGTCTTTTTTTTACCTAAAACGCACTGACACTGACATTGACACAAACTGACACTGATACCATTTTTTTTAAATCCTGACCTTTGACACTGACATTTTGACCTTGATCTTTGACCCTGACCATGACCCAAACACTAACCCCGACACTGAACAACCCTTGATCTAGGTATTTTTTCTTTATTTTTTACTTTATTTTTTAATATTTATTTATCTTTTTTTTTTACAAACATTTTTTTTCTTTCTATGCCAGGAGTTAGAGAGATACAATGTATCTCTCTCCTCTATTCATAGAGAGAGAAAAAAACAAGGGGGGTGGGCTGTACAGTGACTGATCACTGTGATAGCCAATCAGAGGCTATCACAGTGATCATGTGACCCGGAATCGGGAGTCCCGGGTCCCGATCATTTGTACAGGACCCGGTGCTCTCAGTGACACCACGGTCTTTGTGCTGGGAGCGCGACATGCGGCGTGCTGCCAGCACAAAGACAGGTACACAAATATGAGGCCTCATGGGAAAAAAAGCCCAGTTCTGTGAGGCCGCATATTTGTGTTACGTCGGCGTCAAGGGGTTAATATCTGTTAAGGTTTTCATTTATCCCAGTCATAATATAGCTAGTACTCATTAGCCACATTCATATGGGCTTGTTCTGCAATATTGATGGTGTTTTGCTGCTTATCTAAGCAGTTTTTTGAGTGTCGGCGATATACCCCATCATTTATAGCCACAGGTAGGTTTTCTGTTGACTCCAATGTCCAAGTCACCCCTCATTTACATATAGCACAAACACCCAGTTTTTAAAGGGTAATTTGTCACTTTGTTTATCTTCCTGTGTAAACTTAATATAACTTGAACAATTAGAAACCATGCCATATTTTGCAGCACCATGGTGGTTGGATTATGTAATCAGAACAGCTCCCACCATGTTCTTTGGCAATCAGCATTTGCCATGACACATTCATTGGTGACCAGGGGCGGACTGACAACTCATGGGACCCCCGGGCAATAGGGGATCATGGGGCCCCTGTGTCCTTGCCCAAACTCAAAAAAGCCTATGAAAAAGGTACCAGGGGCATCTCATGGGGCCCCCTACTGACCCCGGGCCCTCGGGCAGTGCCCGAGTTTCCAAATGGTCAGTCCGCCCCTGTTGGTGACTAAACTGAAGTGACTCAAGTTACCAGTATGGCTATAAATGCTGAGGTATATTTTTACACTCATAAGAACTGAGGAAGCTGCTTCTAAATGTATACATGCTTCAATATAAACTGACAAATATGTATTTTCAAAACTGCTTCATATAATCTGTATAGTCAATAAAAACATGGGGAAAGTTATTCCTTACATTAAAGATATATGATCTTGGGCTGTCAACCTGATTATAGCTTTATTATCTAGTTGTTTTTTATTAACTCAGAACATGCATGTAGTAAGAAAATTCATGCTTTTCAGACTTCACTGGCTCTTGCTTGCTTCTGATCCACAGCTGATCCAGCATTGAAACCAAGATGAGAATTAGAGTTTACACCTTTAAAAATAAGTCAGCAGTGGCAGTTCCTATATTTCTAGACTCATCTTACTTTTATTTTTTTTCACATTGTTTAAAAAACATTTATTTGTTATGAGCGGACATTCAGTTAAATACTTTTGTATTGCTATTTTATTAAAAATCCAAAGTTAACAATATTTAAAACCACATTATTACAACTAGAGATGAGCGAATCGAACCAGGCGAAGTGGAATTCGTTTCGAATTTCAGGAAAAATTCGATTCGTGCCGAATCCGAATATTAGCATACTTCGGGTGCGCGAATCGGATTTTCCCGATCAGCCGGCAAAAAGTGTCCCTGCAGAGAGCTCCGCTATTTCTGACAGTTCTCTGACAGTTCTGACAGTTCATTTACAGCGGTTGAAACATTGTATCTATTTGTTTCCATTTAGGATACAGATGTTTTTATTCGGAAACAGATACAATGTTTCAACCACTGTAAATGTGAAGGAACTGTCAGAGAACTGTCAGAAATAGCGGAGCTCTCTGCAGATACACTTTTTGCTGTACTGGAATACTTCTTCTTTTCATTCTTCTTTTCATTCTTCTCATTCTTCTTTTCATTCTTCTTTTCATTCTTCTTCTCATTCTTCTTTTCATTCTTCTTCTTCTTCTTTCATTCTTCTTTTCATTCTTCTCATTCTTCTTTTCATTCTTCTTCTTCTTCTTTTCATTCTTCTTCTTCTTCTTTTCATTCTTCTTTTCATTCTTCTTCTTCTTCTTTTCATTCTTCTCATTCTTCTTTTCATTCTTCTTCTTCTTTCATTCTTCTTCTTCTTCTTTTCATTCTTTCTTCTTCTTTTCATTCTTCTTCTTTTCATTCTTCTTCTTCTTCTTTTCATTCTTCTTCTTTTTTTCATTCTTCTTTTCATTCTTCTTCTTCTTCTTTTCATTCTTCTTCTTCTTCTTTTCATTCTTCTTCTTTTCATTCTTCTCATTCTTCTTTTCATTCTTCTTCTTTTCATTCTTCTTTTCATTCTTCTTCTTCTTTTCATTCTTCTTCTTCTTCTTTTCATTCTTCTTTTCATTCTTCTCATTCTTCTTTTCATTCTTCTCATTCTTCTTTTCATTCTTCTTCTCATTCTTCTTTTCATTCTTCTTCTTCTTTTCATTCTTCTTCTTCTTCTTTTCATTCTTCTTTTCATTCTTCTCATTCTTCTTTTCATTCTTCTCATTCTTCTTTTCATTCTTCTTCTCATTCTTCTTTTCATTCTTCTTCTTCTTTTCATTCTTCTTTTCATTCTTCTTTTCATTCTTCGCATTCTTCTTTTCATTCTTCTTTTCATTCTTCTTCTTCTTCTTTTCATTCTTCTTCTTCTTCTTTTCATTATTCTCATTCTTCTTTTCATTCTTCTTCTGTTCATTCTTCTTCTTCTTCTTTTCATTCTTCTTCTTCTTCTTTTCATTCTTCTCATTCTTCTTTTCATTCTTCTTTTCATTCTTCTTCTTTTCATTCTTCTTCTTCTTCTTCTTTTCATTCTTCTTCTTCTTCTTTTCATTCTTCTTTTCATTCTTCTTCTTCTTTTCATTCTTTCTTCTTCTTTTCATTCTTCTTTTCATTCTTCTCATTCTTCTTTTCATTCTTCTCATTCTTCTTCTCATTCTTCTTTTCATTCTTCTTCTCTTCTTCTTTTCATTCTTCTTCTTCTTTTCATTCTTCTTTTCATTCTTCTTCATTCTTCTTTTCATTCTTCGTCTTTCTTCTTTTCATTCTTCTTCTTCTTTTCATTCTTCTTTTCATTCTTCTTCTTCTTCTTTTCATTCTTCTCATTCTTCTTTTCATTCTTCTTCTTCTTCTTTTCATTCTTCTTCTTCTTCTTTTCATTCTTCTTTTCATTCTTCTTCTTCTTTTCATTCTTCTCATTCTTCTTTTCATTCTTCTTTTCATTTTTCTTCTTTTCATTCTTCTTCTTCTTCTTTTCATTCTTCTTTTCATTCTTCTCATTCTTCTTTTCATTCTTCTTTTCATTCTTCTCATTCTTCTTCTCATTCTTCTTTTCATTCTTCTCTCATTCTTCTTTTCATTCTTCTTCTTCGTTTCATTCTTCTTTTCATTCTTCTCATTCTTCTTTTCATTCTTCTTTTCATTCTTCTTCTTCTTTTCATTCTTCTTCTTCTTTTCATTCTTCTTTTCATTCTTCTTCTTCTTCTTTTCATTCTTCTCATTCTTCTTTTCATTCTTCTTCTTCTTCTTTTCATTCTTCTTCTTTTCATTCTTCTCATTCTTCTTTTTTTCATTCTTCTTCTTTTCATTCTTCTTCTTCTTCTTTTCATTCTTCTTTTCATTCTTCTTCTTCTTTTTTCATTCTTCCTCTTCTTCTTTTCATTCTTCTTTTCATTCTTCTCATTCTTCTTTTCATTCTTCTCATTCATCTTCTCATTCTTCTTTTCATTCTTCTTCTCATTCTTCTTTTCATTCTTCTACTTCTTTTCATTCTTCTTTTCATTCTTCTCATTCTTCTTTTCATTCTTCTTTTCATTCTTCTTCTTCTTTTCATTCTTCTTCTTTTCATTCTTCTCATTCTTCTTTTCATTCTTCTTCTTCTTTTCATTCTTCTTCTTCTTCTTTTTTCATTCTTCTTTTCTTCTTCTTCTTCTTCTTTTCATTCTTCTCATTCTTCTTTTCATTCTTCTTTTCATTCTTTTTCTTTTCATTCTTCTTCTTCTTCTTTTCATTCTTCTTCATTCTTCTTTTCATTCTTCTTCTTCTTCTTTTCATTCTTCTTTTCATTCTTCTCATTCTTCTTTTCATTCTTCTCATTCTTCTTTTCATTCTTCTTCTCATTCTTCTTTTCATTCTTCTTCTTCGTTTCATTCTTCTTTTCATTCTTCTCATTCTTCTTTTCATTCTTCTTTTCATTCTTCTTCTTTTCATTCTTCTTCTTCTTTTCATTCTTCTTTTCATTCTTCTTCTTCGTTTCATTCTTCTTTTCATTCTTCTCATTCTTCTTTTCATTCTTCTTTTCATTCTTCTTCTTTTCATTCTTCTTTTCATTCTTCTTCTTCTTCTTTTCATTCTTCTTCTTCTTCTTCTTCTTCTTTTCTTCTTCTTCTTCTTCTGGCAACTCCACCACGCAGCTCATTTTTGTTCCAGTATTACTGTATTTTGCTCCTTCAAAATCCTGAAACTTTCTTTTGGCAGGTGTACAGACTCAGGTACTCAGTGCAGGAATGGTGGGAATCCCTCACAATGGACACAGCAGGTGTACATACAGACCCCGGAATTCAACACAGGGACAGTGGGAACCCCTAATAATGGGTAAAGCAGGTGGGCAGACCCGGAATCTCAGCACATGGATGGTAGGAACCCCTCATAATGGGCACAGCAGGTGTGCATACCCAGAACCTCAGCACAGGGATGGTGGGAACCCCTAGTAATGGGCGCAGCAGGTGTGCAGACCTGGGACCTCAGCACAGGGATGGTAGAAACCCCTCATAATGGGAAACAGCAGGTGTACAGACCCAGGAATTTAGCACAGGGATGGTGGGAACTCCTCCTAATGGGCAGAGCAGGTGTACAGACCCAGGAACTCAGCACAGGGATGGTGGGAACTTCTCATAATGGGCGCAGCAGGTGTGCAGACCTGGAACCTCAGCACAGGGATGGTGGGAACCCCTCATAATGGGCACAGCAGGTGTGCATACCCAGAACCTCAGCACAGGGATGGTGGGAACCCCTCATAATGGGCACAGCAGGTGTTAGGGGGTTTAACTCTCCAGCATCCATTAGAGACTGATATAGTAATATAGTTCATTCTTCTTTTCATTCTTCTTTTCATTCTTCTTCTTCTTCTTTTCATTCTTCTTCTTCTTTTCATTCTTCTTTTCATTCTTCTTCTTCTTTTCATTCTTCTTTTCATTCTTCTTCTTCTTCTTTTCATTCTTCTTTTCATTCTTCTTCTTCTTTTCATTCTTCTTCTTCTTTTCATTCTTCTTTTCATTCTTCTTTTCATTCTTCTCATTCTTCTTTTCTTTCTTCTCATTCTTCTTCTCATTCTTCTTTTCATTCTTCTTCTCATTCTTCTTTTCATTCTTCTTCTTCTTTTCATTCTTCTTTTCATTCTTCTCATTCTTCTTTTCATTCTCCTTTTCATTCTTCTTCTTTTCATTCTTCTTCTTCTTTTCATTCTTCTTTTCATTCTTCTTCTTCTTTTCATTCTTCTCATTCTTCTTTTCATTCTTCTTTTCATTCTTCTTCTTCTTCTTTTCATTCTTCTTTTCATTCTTCTTCTTTTCATTCTTCTTTTCATTCTTCTTCTTCTTCTTCTTTTCATTCTTCTTCTTCTTCTTTTCATTCTTCTTCTTCTTCTTCTTCTTCGTCGTGCCCCATGACTGCCCAAATGAGTGAAGTGTGCGGTGATTCTAAGATCGACGGCACTCATCTGCATGTCATACTGACTGACAGTATTATTTCTCTTCCCCAGCAGACTCCAAGGGCATTTAAATTAAAGGTACAGTGTTCTGCACTAATATAAAGGCTCTCTGAAGCCTAGAAACCCTTTTAATTAGTTAAATTCGCAGCAAATAAATTCGCATCGAATCGAATTTCTCCCGCAAATTCGGCGAATCAGCCGAATCGAATTTTTG